CCTTCTGGCACCGATGCTTTCACGTGGGGCCCCGCACAGAGCAGGGGCTGGACTGCTTCCAGCTCTTCGACTCTGTGCTGCTACCCTGAATTGCTGCACGGGGTGGGCAGTCACAGACTGGAGGAAGCCCGACGAATGAAATCTTAATCCAGACAAAGCATAAGTGCCCTTAATGGCGAAAGTGACCCCTCGTGAGGGGGAAATTCAGTCTTTTCGGAATGGAGAAGGATGAAAGATCGTGCTTGGAGTCAGCTTGTTTCTGAATGTCCAGACGTCGCCTTTGCCCTCCTCGGGCAGGTGCGATACCTGTGCCTTGCCAAGGTGACAAATAGCCTGCATACGTTGAGAATGGACTGTAATGGGACCACCTTCAAAGAGTCTGCAGAAGTGCTGGAGAACATGGTAGCAAGGAAGCCCATGGAAACATGATGCGCAGAAAGATTACAAGGCAAGATACTGGTGGTTTGAACCAGGGATTTGACAGCAGAGTCCCAAAACCTTAAGACCTAAACCACCAGAGCAGCCCTCAAACTGAGGAATTACCACCCAATCTGTTCTGATTTATTTAGAGCATTTATATACTGCTCCACACCTAAACAGATTCCAGAGGGATGGACAACAGAAGATAAAAAGATCATAGAATCATGGATTCATAGAACAGCAGGGTTGGAAGGGGCCAAGAAGGCCATCAAGTCCACCCCCCTGCTGCTGCAGGGCACCAAGTCGCACCACCCCACTCAGAGGGCTGCCCAGTTTCACCTTGAATACCCATAGTGTGAGAGAGCCCCCCACCTCTCCAGGTAGCCGGTTCCACTGTCCTATTGCTCTGACAGTGAGGAAGCTTTTCTTGATGTCCACCCTGAATCTTGGCTGTCGCAACTTGAATTGGTTATTCTGTGTCCCACGCTTTGGTATCAGCAAGAAGAGATCTTGACCTTCCTCTTTGAGACAGTCTTTGAGGTACTTCTAGAGGGATTTCATGCTCCCTTCAGCCTTCTCTTCTCAAGGCTGAACATGCCCAGTTCTCTCCTCATAGGGCAGTGTTTCCAAACCCTGGATCATTCTTGTTGCCCTCCTCTGGACCCTTTCTAGCTTTTTTGCATCTTTCTTAAATCTTGGTGCCCAGAACTGGACCCAGTATTCCAGGTGAGGTCTGGCTAGTGAGGAGTAGAGGGGAACTACTGCTTCTCACACTGTATTGAAAGTCAAAAATGCCAGTTGGAAGGATCTGTGCTCTCCTCTAACAGCCTCATGACATTCAGTGTGAGAACCAGGGTTCTTCTGTCCAGCGAGGATCATACTGTGAAAGGAGCCACTGGCGGCCTGGCTGCTACGGTATAATTCCTGCACCAAGTCATGTTCTTCACGGTCATTTGCCAGGCAGAGTGAATAGCACAGACTGCCCTTCAACCGACCTCCACCCTGCACAACTGCATTCCAGTCTCTGGTCCTCTGCTTCTCTTCCTCCCAAACCGGTGTTCAGCCACCAGCCCGTCTTCTGACTATCTCCAGACCAGCCATCCCAACCAAAATGGCACAATGTGCTCTGGTACTACAACTCCCTGCCTCCCCAGCAATCATGACTCATCTGCCCCCATTTGACTGATTGGCACTTGGCATCCAGCCTGTGTGTGACCTCACCTTCCCCGTCCCCTTCCCCTTCCGAGCATCAGTGCGACCCATCTCAAAGTGAGGCCTAACACATGCCCATTTTAGCACACCACTGGATATCAAAGTATTTCTGGGCACGATTCAAGGTGCTTCTTATTTACCTATAACGTTCCAAGATGCTGGGTTAAGCGTATCTAACAGATCGCCTCTTCCCACATCGTTCCACCTGCACTTTAAGCTCCAATAGACCAAGAAGGAGCTTTTCTGTGGCCACATCGCACTTGTGGAACCTTCTTCCACAAGAGCTGTTTTCGCTCTTCCCTTTGTAATTTCTGATATCTGATAGAGGGTGTAATCTTATGCAAGTGTAGACACATGCGAAAAAGGACAACAGTTTTCCACATATCCCAGCCAGCATAACATAACTAGCTAGGGCATGCTGGGAGTCGTAGGCCTTTTTTCTGTCTAAATGTGAATAAGGTTGTACCATCAGACGGTTTCGCTTTGCTGAGTTTTAATGCTGATGTTGGTTTTTAATCTCCAGCTTTTATGCCTTTTTTCATTTTGTCTTGTTGTTTGTTAATGTTTCATGAAAGTATTGTCGGACACTTTACGCACTAAGTTATTTGGCAGAACAAGCAAGACAATCTTATCATAAATAAATAACATACTTCAAACAGATACTCCAAGCATATGCAAAGCAATAAGCTGACCGGGTTTTTCAACTAAGCTTAGGTAGGCAAATCAGCAAACCCTGCAGTTTTAGACTGCATCTTCCATGAGTCTAGCCAGCACAACCACTGGTGAGACATTATGGGAATTTTGGACCAAGACACCCAGGCTGGACTGGATTGCCAAGCCCTTATTTAGGACAGATAACTGCTTACAACAGAATAATAAAAGATAGTAAAAGAGGCAAGACTTGGCAGCCCTCACACTGTCTCCCAGCTAAGAGAGATGCAAAAACACACAACTCACACAAGGAGGGTTCCAGAGAGGAGCAGGGCAGATAGAAAAGCGAGTTTCACAATGCCAATCAGGCAGTTCTGTGGTGAGGAAAAATCTACAAATAGCTCCTTACAAAATAGAGAAGCTCTGTCCACTTTGTTTTCCCTTTCTCTTACCACCCAAACTAGGTAAGGTGGCAAGGCTGAGTACGCATTTGAGAACGACACGGAACTTAAGCAACTGTCGGAAATAACAAAAAACATCTGCACTAGAAATAGCACAGCCCTACTTGTTGAAGACAAGCAGGTGCAGGTTATATTTTCTTGAGCATATGCGACAAACCCACATCTTAGACATGCAGGGGAGACAAATCATGGCCTCTTGCAGCGCCTTTCGCTTCTCCCTGATGTATTTCTGTGTATTTCGCTGGGGCAGGAGGTGCCCCCCAGAATTGTGAGTTCTGCACTGACCAAAGCACGGAGCTCGAGGCCACAGCCCAGCGCAGCTTAAGGGTGCAAATCCGCCGATGACAGACAGACACCTGCGGGGGCAGAGACGGCGGGGAAGGCAGGCGCACGCCCCAGAAGGTTTTCAGCAAACAGATGGAATGACCGAGCAAGAGTGCGGCAGAGAAATTTGATGGAGGGAGGCTAGCGCAAGACCTTTTTATTCCAACAATATTTTAATGACTTTTAATATTGGCTATATATGTTTTAATCTGCAGCCAGGATGGATCTGGAATTTATTTGTATTATGTTTTATATTATTATTCTTATTTATTTCTGTAAGCCGTCCTGAGGCTTTTGCAAAAGGACGGCATATAAATAGTCTAAATAAATAAATAAATAAATAAATAAAACTGAAAAGCGATATGGCATCCTCTTACTCGTCTCCTAATCTGCATGATCTTGTAAGACAGTTTTTACTGAAAGCCATCTTTTCCACATCCGACAACGCAGCAGCCCGCAATCTCTCAGGCATTTTCCAAACATATCACACTTCCCTCAGGACATCCTCCTGCCCTGCTCAAAAGTTTGCAGTGAACATCATGCCGTATTTACATGGTGCCTTTCCAACCCGTTGTCCATATCTGTGAACAAATATTACTGCTCTAACCAGCCTAGCCCGACCTCTCTCAGGGCAAGATCACCTTGGTATGGCCATCCACGTTCTTGTAACCTCTAGTTTGGATCTCTGCACTGCGTGTGAGTCTCCCTTTGAAAATGGGCTGAAAACTGTAATGAGGACAAAACTAGGCAACATCATTTACTGGAACCGGCTGGTATGAACATAATACATTAGTACTTTGTTACCTCCATGGCTTCCAGTTAATTTTGTGAAACTGATTCAAAGTGTTTCTGGGCTCAATTCAAAATGCTAGTATCTACCTTGGTGCAAACTACATAATTATCACCCCTGCCCACATTTACCTATCCAGATTTTAGGGTTATATTTTGAGGCCTTCATCAAATAAGGCACAGTGCAGGGTTATTTTCTGGAATAGTGATATCCTCGCCATGGCAACTGTGATATTCTCTACTCTTTTGGTGAAGTATTAAAATGAAATAAATAATAATAATAATAATAATAATACCCAGTGATGCCCTTTTTATCATCTCTGGTTTTAGTGATTATACAGTCTTGGATACTGTTGCTTTGATTTTGTCTTCTGCTGCTGAATTTATGCTGGGTTGGTTTCTATGGTCTTGCAACAGTACTTAAACTTTATTCTGTTGGATGTGGTCATCTGGCCTGCATATATTATTCACAGCAATCTTTTGTCTAGCAGCTCAACTCCCCACTCCTCACAAAAGTCAACTTGCGAGGCTCTGCAAGCAAAATAGGCAAATTTGCAGAACTCCATGTGGCGCCTGTATTACTTCATGTCCGGCACACCTTTAGCGTCAGCCAAGTGCGGAGCTGTGAATAAGCGAGAAACACACGGAGCTAACGAAGGCAGGAGGCGCGTCCCAAGAGCCGCCCGCTCTTCGCCCTGCGAGGAGGCCCGGCGCTTGGCCGGGTGCGTCCGTCCGTCCGTCCGTCCGCGGGCGAAGCGCCGCAGGAGCCCCGCTCGAGCGGGCGGCGGCCACTTCGCGGCACCCCAAAGCGAGCAAACCCCAGGGAACGACCGACGCGGCTCGCCGCCGCACTCGCGTGTCCTCCTCCGTCGGGAAGCGCCGACCCGCGGCGCGGCGCAAGGCGCTGTCCCGGGGAGGCGAGCCGGGTCGCTCCTCCCCGGAGCAAAGGGCGAGAGACGACACACCTCCGGGCGGCCGGGCCCCTCCCGCCAGACCCCCTGCGCCCTGCCGCCTCCACGGAGGGCGAGCGCGGCACGGGGGAAGCAGCCTCCGCCGCGGGCACGCACCCGGGCCCGCCCGGCCCATCACGCCCCCGCGCAGCCCTGCCCCAGCCGCCCCCCGGGCGCTGCGGAGCCCCCTGACCTGCTCTCCTCCTGCTCGCCGAGCTCCATCCCAGGGAAGGCGAGCGGCCCTCAGGGCCCAGCGGCCCCGATCCTCGCCGGCCCAGCGCCCCGTCCGAGCGCGGCGGCGGCGGCGGCGCCTTCTCCTGCCATCCCCAGCAGGGCCGGAGCGCGACCAGGAACCGCCCCCGCCCACTCCGCCGGAGAACCACAACTCCCGGCAGGCGCGAGGTCAGCTGGTCCCGGCATGCACCGCGCGGCGGCGCGCGCCCTCCGCCCCCACCCTCCCGGCTACCCGAGCGAGGCGAGTGGGCGGGGCCCCTTCCTTCGGGAGTTGTGGCGCGTGCTCGATCTGGCGGGCTGCAGAGCTCATGAATGAATGACTGAATGAATGAATGAATGAGCAGGGACGGAACTTTCCCTAGCAGTCAACGCGACGAAGCTGAGGTTGTCCCTCTTCAGGCCCATGGAGAGAAGGCAAGACTGCGAACAGGACGCTCTTGCCCGCTCCTGGTGCGGCAGAGGGGAAGAAGGTTGGGCTGAACATTTGCCCCACCCCTGCCTTCTTCCACTCTCCCTCCACGGCCGAGAACATCCATCGGAACGAAATGCGCCATGAGGCAGCAGAGATCAGCACGGCCGGCCCTTGTGCCTTGCCCTGAATGTGTGTGGCCGTGTTCAGACGCTCACATGCACCAAGGCCAGAAGATACCGGATCAAGCCCAAAGTCAGCCATGTTCTATCCCTTTCAGGTGCTTTGGACTATCTGTGTTTATTCGCAAAGTCATGCCCGACTCTCCCCCAACCCCATGGACCCAGCACTCCAGGCCTTCCCGTCCTCCACCGTCCCCCAGAGTCCACCCAACCCCACGCCCACCACCCCAGTGACCCCATCCAGCCACCTCATCCTCTGCCGTCCCCTTCTCCTTTTGCCTTCCATTGTTCCCACCATCAGGGTCTTCTCCAGGGAGTCCTTCCTTCTCATTAGGTGGCCAAAGTATTTGAGTTTCATCCTCAGTATCTGGTCTTCTAAAGAGCAGTCAGGGTTGAACTCCTCTAGGACTGACCGGCTTGATTGCCTTGCGGTCCAAGGGACCCTTGCCCTTTGCTTCCCTTCTTTCCTCAGCTACCTGAAAAGCCTCCTCAGACAGCCACTTTGTTTTCCTGCATTTCTTTTTCTTTGGGGTGGTTTTAGCTGCTACCACCTGCACAATACTCCAAACCTCTGTCCATAGTTCTTCAGTCACTCTGTCTACCAGATCGAATCCCTTACATCTTTTGGTCACCACCACTGTATATTCATAAGGAACATGATTTAGGTCATACCTGAGTGGCCCAGTGGTTTGCCCTACTTTCTTCAATTTGAACCTGAATTTTGCAACAAGAAGCTCATGATCTGAGCCACAGTCAGCTCCTGGTCTTCTTTTACTGACTGTATAGAGCTGTTCCATCTTTGGCTACAAGCACATAATCAAGCTGATGCTTACATGAACCAAGGCCGTAAGACCTTGGATCATGTCCAGTCAGCCATGTCCTATCCCTTCCAAATTATCTGGATTACAAATCCTATAATCCTATATTATAGGACATGTTGGCAGGTGTTGATGGGAGTTGTAGTCCAAAGCATCTGGAGCACACCAGCCTGCCTACCACCTCAAAAACTATATGGGCATAAGGCTGCCAGTTCTTCCTGTATATCTAGTTTTCCTTTTTAGTTTTGTCATCATGTTGTTCATGTCCTGTTTTCATTTGCAATAAGAGTTAATCCCGTTTTGGATTAACCAGTCAGCAGTCTCAGGTATTCAAGCTTTTCCTAGACCGTATGAAAACAGGGTTGACTTCCAAGTTTCAATGCATCCAAATGGGTACACATAGAGAACAAGCATGTAACATCTTGCCTACAATATCCTTTTCCTACAGACAGAAAATTTTATCTGCATTTTATTTTATTTTGGTTATAATAAGGAAGTTGCATGATGCAAAAATATCCCACCTGACACACATGCAAGCCTGCTTTTGCTGCCTTCAGCACCTGCAGCTTAACAAATCTCCACCAATGACATTTTACTCCCACTGTTTCTGTGCTGTAAATTGAGCCCACTAAAATGCCCCAATATGAGCACTATGCAGTGCGTATTTATTTCACAACAGTACTCCTTTCCAGGTCATTCTGTTCTAATGATGCAGCTGTGGCAAAAATCGTGTTTTGGTGGCTGCTCTTTTATCAGTGGCTTTGGCCACTGGGGACACCACAGGGTTGATGGATAAATAGCCTCTTAGATCCCGTTCAGTCTGCCTTTGTGACTGTCCGGGGGCGGACAGCTGGCCTCCTGGCCTGAAAAATCGAAGCTGCTGCCAACTGCTCTGCTCTCTGTCTGCATTTGGTCTGCTTTGCACCTGCCATCTGGATGTACAGCATCTGCCATCCTTTCTGATACATTTGACCAGGGATTAAACAAAGAATTTAAGCCTTTGTGTCAGTATAATGCTGATATAAGCCAATCCTCCAGAATCCAGGCTATTCCCTAATAATGCAGGAATTGAGTTTTCAAACCATGCCTGTCCTGGAACATTAGGAAATTGGATTTTAATTGGAGTTTAGACAGAGAATGCTTCAACATCAGATCATGACAATAGTGTTCTGAGGACAAGTTAATGTGTAAACCACCTAGAGAGACATATAAGCTATGGGAAAGTCTATAAAAGCAATGAAGAAATTAGTTGTTGTTGTTAGTTGCGAAGTCATGTCCAACCCATCGCGACCCCATGGACAACATTCCTCCAGACCTTCCCGTCCTCCACCATCCCCGGAGTCCATCCAAGCTCACACCCACTGCCTCAGTGACTCCATCCAGCCACCTCATCCTCTGCCGTCCCCTCCTTCTTTTGCCGTCAATCGTTCCCAGCATTAGGCTCTTCTCCAGGGAGTCCTTCCTTCTCATTAGGTGGCCAAAGTATTTGAGTTTCATTTTCAGTATCTGGCCTTCTACAGAGCAGTCAGGGTTGATCTCCTCTAGGACTGACCGGTTTGATCGCCTTGCGGTCCAAGGGACTCGCAGGAGTCCCCTCCAGCACCACAATTCAAAGGCCTCAATCCTTTGGTGCTCAGCCCTCCTTATGGTCCAGCTTTCACAGCCACACATTGCAACTGGGAAAACCATCGCCTTGACTATACGCACTTTTGTTGGCAGGGTTATGTCTCTGCTTTTTATTCAAGTATTTTTTAATATTTTTTAATTTTTAATTTTAATCTAATTACATGCTCAAATTCCATCGTGGCGGTGTCCAACAATTTAAAACAATAAAGACTTGCAACAAAAAAAATGATCATGAAAAATATTAGGGGCACAATTTTATGCATGCTGAAGCAGAAAAGGAGACTTTTTGTAGGATTTTTTTTTCGTTTCGACGCGCATAGGATTGCAAGTGACATTAAAAACATTCCTACTTTTGAGCGTGCGCAGAACGAGGTGAGCCATACAACGACTATGCTCCTCCTGACCTGCAGGGGGCGATGTGACGTAAACAATTTACGTCAGTGAACGATGACGCCCTCGGACGCATGCGCAAGAATAACAGGCTCACCCTCTCACAAGGCGAATTGCGCACGCGCCGGAGGCTGTGGCTTTCTGAGCTCCACTGGGAAGCGCATGCGTCCTGGGCGGGACGCGCATGCGTCAGAGCGAGAAGAAAAAGCAGCTCTCTTACTCCAGTTGGGTTGGTGGTTTCTTGTGTTTGTGAGGAAAAGGGGCCACCGGATCAGCGGCCATGAACGGGTTCGGCATTGGAGCAGCTCCACTCAGGAATCCCAGCAGTGAAACCCTGGAGAAAATCGACATGTCGTTGGGTGAGGCGGCGAGAAAAGGCGCAGGGCTGAACCTCGGGTGGGAGAGCTGCGAAAGGCTACGGGCGGGCGCTCGAACCAGTGGACAGGTTGTCTGGGCCGAACCATGAGCGCGTGTAGGGGGAAGGGGACAGAGCCGGGAAGCAGCCCGTGGGGGTGGGAGGCCTTGGAGGAGTCCAGGAGGAGGCGGGCCTGTTCCAGTAAAGACCGAACGACGAAGGCCGCAGAGGGGAGCGGGGCGGGGTCGGCGAATTGACGGATGGGGCCCTGCAGCCCGGGGGGCGGGCCGAAGCTCGGTGGAACCTCCAGGTCCAGGAGCAGTATGCCGCTATTGTCATAGGGTTGTGCTACTTTTAAAGTCTTTGAAGCCGTTAAGTTCGGTTTACAAAGTGGGAGGGAGTAGGTCTCTGCCCTGAGGGGCCTCAAGTGAGTACATCAGCACGAAGGAGAGAATGAGAGAAGGTGCAAGAAGGGGCATTAGAGATGAGCAGTGAAGAATGTGTCGTTATTTGAAAGCTGTGGACTTAGGAACCAGAGGGGTGAGTCAAAAGCATCGTAGCATTTATTCCTCCAAATGCCACGTTCTGAAGAAGGCAGTGCCTTTGTCCCTGGCAGGGAAGCTTTATGGAGGCGTTTGCCTCACCACTGTTGGGAGCAGGATGCAAGACCAAAATGGATGCAGAGATTCAAATAGAAACATAAATAGCACAGGCTTGCCTTAAAAACGAAAGCCTCAGTAGGTTTTTTTTAAAAAGAGCCTATCCATCGCAGCAAATGACAAAAGCTGAAAAACCAAATATTTCTTAGACTTGAACAATTTTCAGTAAGAGCCTAAGTGCCGAAAGAGGAGGGACTGGATGGGTTTGTGTTAGGAAGGTGGCACAACCTCTGAAAAGGCCCTGCCATAGGAATGTGTCTTGTTGGATCTTAGGACCATAAACAGAGCTTCAGAGGCTGCTCTAAACTGGTGGGCAGGTGAATCTGATAGTGGAGCAAGCAATCCTGGAGGTAATTTGACCCTGAGCTGCTGGTGTGCAACCAAATTCAGCCCTCTGGGGTTTCCCAGAAGGCCACATCCCTCTCCCCTGGCCCTACCCGTTCTTCCCACCCTATGATCACTTCGTGGCTTCCTGCCTTTTGCTTCATGTTTTTTCCCCCCTGTATTCTTAAAAGTTGAAATTTCTCACCTAAGAATTTATTACTGTCAATAAAAGTATTAAGCTTCAGTTTGCTGATATTTGTGGCCTTGCTCCTTTAGCCTCATCCACTCTTGCTGTAATGTGACGCTCACCAAGATCACCTCCGGAATTGCATTCAGCCTTCTAGCTGAGAGAGATTTCCCATCACAGGTTTAAGGCCACCACTTTCAAATGTAAAGATTGTATTAGGTCTGGAAAGAAGCAGGCAGCTGTTCAAAGTGATGGTGAACTGTTTGCTATTTTCTGGAATTTCTGACAGTCACCGCCTTCTAAATCAATTTATGTTTCTGAATTGTCCTGAAAGGCAGCGCCATATAGAAGGCTTTGCAGTAATCCACTCTGGATGTAACTAGGGCATGGATGAACTTGGCACTCGGTTCTCCAGATCAGGCTGCAGCTGGCCCACTAAAACAGTCTTTGTCACGGACACTTCCTGGACATTCAGAGGGAGCACTGGAGAAGGGACACTCCCATGGTGCCTGTATGTTCCTGCCCAGGAAATGCAGTCCTCTCGAGAGATGGACGGCTTGCCTGGCCTCTCCGCCTGCAGTATCTTTGTAGAAGTAACTCCTGCTTCCCAGGAGTCATTTCTGCAGCTAATTCAGACAGGTTTAGTAAATGCTTTGCACACCTTCTTGAACCTCGATTGATCCAGTATATGGGATTATTTTGCTCTAGCTTGGTAGAGCAAAAGTGGGTAGAATATACATTGCTGTATGTTTTGGATTTGGACTCCCAAAAGCCCCTGTCAGGAATACTGGGCACTTATGTGCCAAACATCTGAAGATCTACTTTCTGCCCACCCCTGTGAAAGAGCATCAGATTTCCAGACTGGAAGGTCTCAGATTCAATCCCAGGTATTTCCAGGATCTTGTCTAGCATGGCTTGGAAAGGGCCTTGAAGAGCAGCTGCAATTCAGGGAAGGCCGGACTGGGCTATGAGGGCCGGAAGGGCATTTCATTGGAGGGAGAACTGAGTGAAGATTTATAGTGGGGAGGGAGAGATGGGAGTGGAAAATGTGCAACAGAGCAGGTTCTGCCAATGGGCCACTGGTTGTGGAAGATGTAGAGCCTTTGCAGAAGCCCATGTGGCTGGGCAAAAGGAGGCTGCTTCTTTAGGGAAGCACTGTTCCTGAGGAAACAGAGAAACTGAGTCGGAAGGGGTCTCCCGGGCCATCTAGTCTGACCTCCAGCACCAGCCGGCTCCGCTCACGACATGCCCACCATGTGCATGTCCAGCCTATGCTTGAACACCTGCATCGATGGGGCCTCAATGACCTCTCCTGGGGGGTTGCCATGGGTACATATTGTATGTATTTTGCATGGGTTTTGGGGTGAGGGTGAGAGAGTGAATGGATTTAGGTCGGTAATTCGTGAAAGGAATGTGGCTCTTGTCTCCAGGGGTGGCAGCCCCATTGGTCCAGAAGCATTCGAACCCTACCTCTGTCATGTTCTTGGGGTCTGGAGCAAGGGACTTACCTGGTGAATTTCCATCCTCACCTCAAGCAGACATTTAGCAATGGCATCCTTAGCACTATCTCAAAATTCCAAGTGTATCTGTCAGGGCAAAGTATTGGAAACCCCTGTGATAAATGGTGTTGACTCCCTTGGGGTCCACACCCCACTCTTTGGAAAAGAAAGGTGCTCCTTGGATGCTGATATTTGGAGGAGCTATGGAGGAGCACCTGCTTTACATGCAGAAAGTCTCTGATTCAGTGCCCGGCCTCTCCAGGTAAGTCCTGCCTCAGCCCTGGGAGAGCCACTGCCAGGTGCTACTGCCTGTACTGGGCTGGCCAGTGGGTTACTGGGTGTAAGACTGCTTCGATGTTCCTGAAGTGGTGATTCTTGCCCAGCCTGCTCCTGGGCTTTTAGGCAGAGCCAACCCTAGGTTGGGGTGCCCCCTTTTCTGGCATGTTCTCCATCTTTCTCTCCTCTCCCTGGTGTGAGCTAGAGCATGCTTATACTATTCCAGTCAGAGGTTTCCTTCTGAGGTCAAATGTGTCCAGCAGTTAATGTGAGAATGAAATATACGAACTGCAGTTAAAGAGAGTCAGTGTGTTGATTCAGGCCATATCCCCATATTAAGGTAAGAACTGGGGAGGAATTCCTTCTGGTCACATTTTGGTAAGAACTTTCCAAATTCACACTTCTGAAAAAAGTCTGTGAGCCGAAATGTACCTGTCCTTCAATATTTACACTTCTCCATATTTTGTGCTGCAGTTCTCTGAGCAAAAGCCCATCTATGATGGGAGCTTGCACAGCGAAATATGTGTATTAGAGAATAAATGTACAAAAGAGCATTATATTAAGGAAAACTGCTGGCAAAAAGTCAGCATTGGACAAAATTGCATACAAAATAGGTATATTAAGGGAATGCATATATGAGTGTATCTGGTTTTCATAGTCACTGACTGTGTGGAACAGGACAAAAACAAGGAAGTGAAATTGGCACATTCATAATTCCCAACTGTGAGCGAAGTCTCCTTTGGTTCAGGTTCAGACTTTGTGCTGGGTGTGAGTTTTTTTGGCCTCAGTTCCTAAAAGCCATTAACTGAGAGCCAGTGTGGCGTAGTGGTTAAGAGCATGGAACTGGGACTCAGACGATCTGGGTTCTAGTCCCCACTCAGCCATGGAGCCAACTGGGTGACTTTGGGCCAGGCACAGACTCTCGGCTCAACCTACCTCACAGGGTTGTTGTTGTGGGGATGAGATGGAGGAGGAGAATGATGTAAGCTGCCTTGAGCCCTTTGTAGGAAAAAGGCAGGATATAAATCCAAAAATAAATAAAACTTGTAAGAAATAATGGCCTTCCTCATGGCTCATGGGGTTGTCTGTAAGGGTGATCATGATAAAGGTTATAAAGCCATTTAGTTCCAAAGGGATAGCTATTGCAGCAAAAACAGCAGAGTCCTGGGGCACTTTAATGACTAAAACATTGATTATGGGATAAGGTTTTGTGCACAGGCGTGATTTAGGGGAGGCGATCATGATGTCTCTTCCAGAATGCCTTCTGGCTGCAGTTCCCAGTTTGGCAAGGCCAGACTCTGTAGAAATGTGGTCCTGACACTAAGCAAATTCAAAGAAGCCCCGTGAAAGAAAATTGGGATACTCGGAATGGCTGGAACTGGTTATCTTAGCACATAGAGTTGAATACATTTTCTGAGAGTCAAAGGGCTCTTGTCCTTTTTCTCTACATTTTAATTTCCCCCCTTAGGCCGGGTCTTGATCTGTCGCTGGGGCTTCTGTCCTGCTGACTTCAGCACCATCAGCGCAACGGGCGGTTCAGAGAGCAGTGAGCAGGAGCAAGGAACGCTTTTGCAGCCTCGTAACTGGCTGCACACAGCGATCCATAGGCACGAGTCCAGTCGTGAGAATGGCTGCAATAAGACGGAGTGCAGCAGTCCTGACAGATGCAGGCAGTTTCGTCCTGGAGGGGCATGGCAATGTCAGATCAAGCCTCTGACGGGTCTGTGGCTGCCTCGCAACCAGTGCATAGCAGGCCCCAGAAAGGCTCTTTGGGGTGGCAGACGGGAGACGGAATGGTGAGATGGCCTTTCTTTGGCCTCTCACCGCTCCTAAGCACCCCTGCCTGCATCCACAAGGGGTTTTCTGCACTCTGCCGTCTTCTGCATTGTCCGTTGCTCTCAGCTTCAAGGTGCACATGTAGCGCAAGCCGGGAGTGCGCCTCGCTCCATGTGTTGGGCCGCTGACGTGTTGAGACAAGCCCACAGTTGTCACGGAGGCCATGACATCCTGAACTGCTCCAGGCAAGCTGTCCGCAGTGTGCATGTCGGGGTCGCCCCAAACCAGCTGCCTGGGGGCTGAGCATCACACGCAGGTCGGCCTCCATCCGCTCAGGCAGGGAGCCTGCTGAGGAGGAGGGTCGGTGGGACACCAGTGGAATCCCTTAACTGTCCCACTGGCTCAAGACGAGATGCAGACCCCCCGAATCGGGACAGGGAGCCTGGAGTGGCAGAGGGTGTCCTTACAGACCTTGGCAGCCCCCGCCCTCAGTTCTCAAATTTACCCTTATGCTGAGCCAAGGATCCTGCTGGGCACAGCTAGGAAAAATTAACTCCCCGCTGTTCACCCATCAGGCCTCAGCTTTACCTGCCAGGTTGGCCATCTCAGACTCTCCTCTCACGTTAGGTCAGAAATGGGGGAAGTCACCTGGCATTTAAAAGTGGCACCCAGAGACCCGAGGGAAGGCCGGTAGGGCAGCCATCAGATCCGCAGAGCAAGCAGGGCCAGGGCATGGCACAGCTGTTCGCCACGTGGACGGCATTCCCCCCGGTCCTTCCAGGGACTTTCTGCCCCCTGTCACTGCTCTGGGGCGGTTGCCCCACTTGGCCCATATCACCCTTCCCGGGTCCGTATTCCGGCTCTGTGGTAGAAACGCCCCCCCCCCGCACCGTGCGGCTGACTTCGGAGTCCTACACAGCTGGCGGGGGAGGCTGCGTGACGTCCCCAGGATGGGACCCGCCGGGCAACAGCACGTTGGTTCTCACCGCAGGCTGGCCTCTCCAACAGGCTGGCGGCTGAGGCACCTGCAGGAAGTGGGGCCGGGGAAAGTCCTCGGTGCTGTTCTTCCCTCTCTCCTTTGAGCTGGAGGGTGGCCTTTTTCCCAAGTGCCTTGCTCCCTCGGGGGAATCGTTCAGGTTTGCCAGGAAGCTGTGGGATCAGAGTCCACCCCTGCTTCCTACCGCCACTTGCCCCTCACTCTCCTGTTGGCTCCATGATTCCACGGCACTCTTCCCTGCCTGCGAGCCTGGAGTGTGGCTGACTTCCTGCCTGCCTGGCCAGGGAAGCCTTTTGGAGCCCTCTTGTCGGCTGGCATCGCCTGTTGACTGCAGCCCCCAAATTCTGTTCCAAAAATCTTATGCTTGAAAGAGAAACCACAGGGCTTGGGGACGAGAGCAGCAGCAGGCCTTCATGCCTGGCCGCACTCTCTGCCGTCCAAGGAAAATTAGAAGCCCTGTTCAGGAAAGCCGAGGGTAGCAAGCTGGCTGTGAGTGGCCGGTTTGTCTGGAACAGCTCAAAGGTAGTCGAAAGCGGAAGAGCTGATGAGCCTTCCTTCTGCTGGTGGAGGCCAGGGACTGCTTTAGATGGTCAGCGCTGAGCGTGATGCCGGCCTGGAAAGCACGTTGCAGGAAGGGTTCTAAAAGCGCACTGATGCTTGGCGTTTAAGTGAAAACTGGAGGATTTTGTACTCATTGTGCAAGCAGAGCCCCCACTGAGAAATGGCTAATCCAGGGCACTATTTCTTTTACAGATGATATCATCAAATTGAATAAGAAAGAGGAGAGGAAGCAGTATTCTCCTAGAACCAAAAGAGGAGCTCAGCAGAACGGCACGCGGCAGTTCCGGATGAGGAGAACCAAGTGGGGAATCCAGGAATATATTGGTAAGTTGTCTGTTTCTGGAAAAAGATGTGGGTCTCAAAACTGAGCGGTCAAGCGCTAATGTTCTTTAAAAGCTCACTTTTTTAGGCAGGACTTAGTTATACCTAAAATGTATTCATAAATGCATCGTCACAAACACACAGTGTTTTGTGATATGTTATACATGATGCATTTGCTGCTCTCGACAATCCTGTGGTCTCTAGGCAATGTCTGTAGATATTCTGGATTCCGAGTTCCAGAGCTGGGGGCAGCGTTCCAGCCTCACAGCTGCCCAGAAAAGAATTCCACCAGCTGCTCTCTTGGGGTTGGCAAAGTGCCCTGAGAGAGGGGGAAGGGGGCATTTTCTGCGGAGGAGAGGGAACTGGAGGGGCAAGGTTACACGTGATCCTTGGGCCTCCCCAGCTTCTTCCCCTCCCCATCTGAATGATCCAGTTGCAAACTGGATCCCATTTGGAGTCTAATGGGGATCAGCCCAGGATTGCACCCCTGGGGTGATAAAGTAAGTTCTGCTCTGAGAAGAAAATAAGACTGTTCTAATCTTCAGCCCAGTTATTCTGTCTTTCCAAATAAACTTGGAAGTAGATCTCTGCCTCAGCCCAATGTCTTAACAGTTTCCGGGTATGTGGCCACTCTGGGTGCAGACCGACTTCAGGGCAAGATGGCAGGTGCGTTGGCTCACTGGTGGAACACACCCGTCGCCTGCACAGTCCCCGCGGGGCAGCACCCTCCGGTAGGGCCGGAAAGACTGCTGCCAAAAACCCTGGCGAGCCCGTCAGCACCAGCACGGCTGGGGCAGAGGGACTTGGTACCGGACAGCTGTCTTTATTCCCCTCTCTCGCTGCCTCCGCACCCTCCAACCTCGTGTTGCCGCTTTCCTCTCTCTCTTTCAGGTTTTGGCAAGAACCGCCTAGGACGCAGAAAGCGGGTGGCTGGGAAGAGGCGCCCCTACAGTCTTAAAACGGGGCTGGCGGCCAGGAAGGCATTGGGGATGTCCAAAGGCATCAGCCCCCTCAACAGGTCACCCCTCAGTGAAAAGGTTTGTGCTTAGCTCCTCTGGCGCATCATGTGTGTGGGGAGGCGGGCTCTTACCGCATGGGGAAAGCTGTTTGGGCTGTCTCCACATTGCGCTGTAACAATGCCTTGTCTGCACCACCCGGGGCCGCTCCGAGGTGAGATCTGGCTTGTCTGCGCCATTCGGGGCCGCTCTGAGGTGAGATCCGGCGTAGGGTTCGGAGGAGCCCTTCCCAAGCTCTAGTCCCCTTCTGTGAACAGGGCAACTGCGGGATCCAGAGGTGGCAGTCGGGGAAAGGCCCCAGATCGTGATCTGTCGGGGCTATAAATATTCTGGATGCCTAAAGGCTAGGCTTGTGGCACCTTAGCAGCCCACCAGTTTAGGGGTGCAGAAGCTCTTGCCGACTGTCAGGTGAAACGGGCTCTGGTTCGCTGCGACCGGGAATCTGGGCCTTTGAGTGCCGCGGGAGTCTGTTTTGTTGTGCCGCAGTTGACTAGCACTGCTGCCTCTCCAGAAGTACATTGGCTTGACTTCTGCAATGTCTCTTCCTAAAGAACGTACAGCGGAACTACTCCATTTTGAAAAGGAAGGCAAACGTTCAGAGGCCGTCAGAGTTGCAGCGAAAGCAAGGAGCCGTTCTCAGGAGGCCCCCATTGCTAAACAGAAGGTGAGGTCCGTGTGCTCTCGGCGTCTGCCTTGCATTTCCCAGCCCCTTCAAGCAGTTCTCTTTTACTGGCAACAATGAGATCTGTTTAAGGGAGGAACTAGCTCAGGGGCAGAGCACCTGCTTTGCACGTTAGAGGGTCCCAGGTTCACTCTTCGGCATCTCCACATTGGGCCAGAAAACATCTCGCCTGAGATCCTGGGGAGCAGCTGCCACCTCGAGTCAGTGTCAAGAAACCCGGCTCGATGAATCCAAGGCCCAATTCGGTACACAGCAGCTTCTGCTTTTCCTGTTTTGACAGCTGCAAGAGAAAGCGATTTCATTTCCCCAGCCTTCTGGGAACAAATCACTTCATAAGCGCTTGTCCAGGAAGAAATGCCGATCTAGCTCGCCTCTAGTGCTTTAGCAGAGCGAATTTACCCATCGAGGGTGGTTGGCTAAATTGTCCCGAAGCTTTTATTTTTCTCCAGTGCAAACAGGCTTCCAAGGCAGTCGTTGTAGAAGTGATTGGGCATCACTGTCAGGGTTTGCTGCCATTCTGGATTTTTATCAAAGCTGGTTAGGATCCTTTTTTGCTTGCATCTATCAGTGGTACACAAAGCAGCAGTAAAGTGCCAGTGAATCATTTGGCTCGTCTTCTGCACAAATCTCACAGCTAGCAATAAGACGGCCGGCACTTGCTTTGCTTCTTTGGTACATAGGATCTTTCTACCTAGAACAGGAGGCCTCAGCTTAACAACCGGCCGCTTGCTCTGTTCCTCCTCTGGGAGGGGTGGCTGCCTGGTTTGGGTGTGCTAAGAAGTATCTAGCGACCTTTCAGAGGATGTTGAAGCTGCAATCCCGTACTCACCTTGCAGTAAAGCCCACTGACTTACTTCAGAGTAGACGTGCCAAGGATTGCTCTGCACATCATTCGCTGTGATTAATATCTAGTTCGGTCCTGTTCTATTGTTGGGTTTTTGCCCCAACACGTGGCTGCTGTGAGAGGAGGCAGCCATGCGTGGGGGCATTTAAATTATACAAACAGAAGGAGTACCCCAGTAAGTTCTCCACTTACACAGCAGCTCCCAATCTTTTTTTTTATAAGAAGTTTTATTCAAAATAACCCTAAAACAAAAGAAAACTAAAAACAACATCAGTCATCAGAAACATCGGACCTGCTGGGCCAGCCCCCACATTTTTCCCTATTTATGATAACTTAGAAACAGATTTAAATCTATCCGAAGTCCCGTTTCTCTAGCTAATAATAAAAAGAGTCCCAAGTTTGATAGAAGTCTTTGATCTCATCCTATGATAGAATGTCATCATTGTTGGTGGACCATTTTCTCAGCCAAATATTCAGGCTCTTCCCCTCCTCGCTTTTACAGCATCTTGACTAGGTCCACCTAGGTGTCTCTGACAACAGTTTTACTGCAAAGCTGGGCAATTCCCTTCCAGTGGCAGATTGTAATCTCCTCGGAGCAGGGAACATATCTTTGTTATGACATTGTGTAACTGTGACATGTACTTGAATGGTGCTGTGCAAGTAATGATGGTAACTTCTGTAAATGTTGACAGAAGCAACGTACAGTCCCCATCAGCCAGGATTGGAAATAAGCTATACCAGCAGAAGGACACGCGCCAAGCAACTTTCCTCTTTCGGAGGGGCCTAAAGGTACAGTGGAAGGCAAAGCGATTGTGCTAACTCTACCCAGCATTTTTCTGCTTGAGGTCTCTGGCACTCCAAACAAACTCTGAACAGAATCTGGCTACGGCAGCTCTTTCATTCTTTTTACAACCAAGGTTGGCTCCAAATGCAGCTTGACTGTAGGTTATAAGAGTTTTGTCACTTTCCTTAGGTGAGTTAGGATTATTTAGTGGGCCAGTTTGCACAATCCAAATAAGCCCATGTCGGATTCTGGTATTTTTATTATTTGATTTAAAGCAGCTTAGAAGCAGATGAAAAACACGGTAAAGAAACAGGCAAACACCGTCGCACACTGTCCGTCAGGTCCTGCAGTGAGATTTATAGATGTTGGTGGAAAACTTGGCCCCCAACCCTATTGGAAGGAGGGGGGTGATTAAGTGCTTGTAAGCTGGACCAAAAGGCCGCGCTGGTCTACTGAACCGTGCTAATTCCTTCCTCCAGAAGCCTCTGTGGTCCCGGGGCTTTCACTAACGTGCTTGTTGCACAGGCTTTGGCTTACTCATCTCCTGAACTCCTCCTCTTTTTCCTTCCAGGTGCAGGCACAGGTACATTCCGAAGATAACCTCAGCAGCCAGGGTGCAAAAAGATCTCGCCCGTAGGTGTTCTGATGAAACGGCCTGCAGCTTTGGCTTACCTTTTCTCTTTTTTGTTCAGATGTGTGTCATACTCTGGCAGGGGAAATTACCGGCGGTCTTTGCGTAGCAGCCTTGGGACCTCGCTGTGCTGGAGCACAATGCAGGAACACAGAGGCTCCGACAGGGCTTATGGCACAGCCGTCCTAAGCTGGTGCCCTCTAGGTTTATCTACCACAGCCAGCTTCCCCAGATAGTTAACCCAGCTGAGGCATTCTGGGAATCGTAGTCCAGCCCATCTGGAGGGCTCCCAGTTGCTCGTTGGAAGAGGCTCCCCTGGTGTTTGCGAAGGGTGGTTCCTGATCCCCTTTCCTTGGCCTGAAAGTGAACATGCGGCCTACCTGCTCCCTGCTTTCCATTGCGGAATTTGGGGGCCTGGATGATAGGAGAAAGTTTTATATAAGGCTCGAGCCATGTGCCTAGTTCCTTGGAAAGAAATCCAGTGAGTTTGCTTGGACTTGCTTCTCAGGGGACACACAGAATCTGGTTGAAGTCACCAACTCTCAAATGCTGAGTTGGGGCCCTCCAGAAGGCCCCCGAAAGCCTCGAGGATAGGGGCCGGGCCCTGGCAGTGACTTAGAAGCCGGGGCATTTGAGGGGAAAGCGAGCAGGGCTGAGAAACCTGGATGAACATGGCAAGGTGTTATTTATCCTGGGATAGGCACTGGTGAGGGAAGAGGAGGCAGGAGTAAATGGGTGGAGAATTTTTATTTTATTATTTATTAAATGTATAATCTGCCCCATTAGCCATATGGCTCCCTGAGTGGATTACAGCAATAAAATACAAAATAGAATAAAACAGAGATTGAAATACAATATAAAACAACAATTACAAATAAAAAGCAATGTAAGATGCGCCACAATAATGACATACCCTAAACCTTATGTCTAGGTTTGAGCATCTCTGAGTGCATGCAGAGCGCAGTTCCTACCAATTCCTTGCCCCCCACGCAGCACCTTCCTAAAATTGCTGTCTAATGTGCTTGCTGGTAAAAGAGGGTATTTTGGATGGCATGAACGGGGTTTCTAAAACAGGACATATTCTTTCTTAAGAGGAGAATGGCAATTGCTTCCAGAAAAGTAGAGTCCCCTGCTTCTCCTGAAGTATGCTACAAGGAAGATTCTCTGCCTATGCACATGTGCTTCAGGAGGACACCCCCCACATGCACACACATGCACACGCACAGAAGTGGAGTGTACAAAATGGCACTCAGCCTGAAAGAACGTTGATGGAGAGCTGCCTGTGGCTGGCTGGCTAAAGGATGCTAGTACTCCGGAAAAGGCCTAGGCTAGCCACGGTCGAGCATTGTCCCGGTGAGCCTCCTTAAGCCCCAAAAAATGGCTCAGCCATGTGCTGGTATCGCTTCAGGCAGGTTGCCCCCAGGACAGAGTGGGCGGGTCAGTCCCTTCGGGGAAAGCAAGCAAGTCCAAGGGAGTTGCTGCCACTCCGCGTCCGATTCCCTGTGCCGCCAGTCACAGCCTTCACAGCCCTGCCTCTTGTCCGCTTGGGGACGCCTTTCTTCAGGACTTCCTGCTAAAGTAGCAGCCAGTTGCAGCTGCTTGCTAGATGATGCGAGAGACCCCTCCTCCTCTCCGGTTGGTCTAAATAAACAGGTCTTGTGCTCCCTGACCAGGTGGCGAACATCCACTACAAATGGAGGGATCTTGACCATATCCATTGACAATCCTGGGGCGATTCCATCCCCGATGTGAGTAAAACGGCTTCCTCTTGCGTTTGAGCCTCCTGCAGAGCTCAGTTGGTGAGAAGAGGGGCAGGGATCGGGCAGTGGGGGGAGGCACCTGGCAGGCAAGGAATGGGCCAGCAGTGGGAAGCCCTTGCTGCACAAGAGCCGGTCTCAGTTTGGGAGACGCTTGCCAGGGCTACATTCTGGAGCCAGAAATGCAGAAACTACAGAGCACCCAATCTTGTTGTAGCTTAAAGGTCTGGCTGCCTTAACGGTGGCAATTCGGCCTTTTTGTTTGGGGAAAACTGCACAAAGTCTGGGAAGGCACCGCGTGGTTGGGGAAGAGGCTGGGGCCAGGGGACACCTGGAGACCTTGGGGGGCAGAATTCGTATTCCGGGCCCCACGTTCCCCACCCAGTTCCAGCAGCAGCACCACCACAGTGGCAGACTTCCACTTTGTGTTCGCCATCCTCTCCCTCCATTACCGGTTTCGCAGTGGGCACCTTGTCTGCTCTGTTCCACATTTTGGTGAAATACTCTCTTCTGTTGAAGGTGCTCACTGTGCCTTGACCCTGTGTTTTGCTCCAGCTCTTTGAAGCCGAGGATAACTAGCACTCCGATACCTCCCTTTCTCATGAAGAGGGACCAGCCTGAAGAGAAGAAGGTCCCCAGAGGCGTCCCCCTGCAGTTCGACATTAACAGCGTGGGAAAGCAGGTTGGTTCTCCTGAGCCCCTCTACAGTGAGTGGGCAGCCTTCGCAGTAAAATCGCTCCGCTTGCAACCGGGCTCGGGCTGCTTTAGGGTGTTTTGGATATTTTATCGGGTGGCTGTTGTGATAACGTGCATCCTTCTGTGTCTGCAGACAAGCATGACCCTCAACGAGCGCTTTGGGATCCTGAAGGAACAGAGGACAGCCCTTTCTCAGAACAAAGGCAGCCGTTTCGTAACGGTGGGCTAGAGGCTCTTTCGGGGAGACCCTTGCAGGGGGGGGGCGTCTTTCTGAGGAACTAAATGAACTGTGGCTGAGATGTATGGGATCTATTGGACTTTGTGTCAAGATGCTGATGAAGCTGGGTTTTTTTTTTACTGCTTTTACTTTAAATAGTCAAAAGAAACAGAACCCTCACGTGATGGTGGTCCAGAAAAAAAAAAGAAAAATTAGCGTGTTTGGGGAATGGAGTCAAGTTGCTTGGAGGAGAACAGGGTCTCCTGGGCCCCAAGCAAGAGAGAAAAAGGCAAATAGCCTTATTTTGGTTTCTTAAGCAGCCAGGGGATGTTCATCTGGTGGCCAGTATTTGAACCATTCAGTGCTGGAATCGGTCTCATTTCATTCCATCCCACTGCCAAAGTTTGCTCTGGTTTTGACACGAATTTTTCAGTGAAGAATCCCTCCCTGCTCCCAGCTATTTTCCTGTGACTTCAGCTCAAAGGTCTTTGATCCTCTGCAGCTCTACAGTTCAGCTGAGGGTGGAGGCCACATTGTTTGAAAATTTGAGGCGGTAAAATAACATTTCGACAGTTGGTGGAGAGGAAGAGGCATGATGGCTGTTGTCACTTAAGCAGCAGTAATCGAGAATGGGCCTCAGCCCATATGCTTGAGAAATGACCCTATTTGGTACAACGTTAAGCCAATGCCATTTAGCCCTCTTGCTCCCCATTAAAGAGGCTGGCTGGCTTCAAATCTCCATGAGCTGAAACGAAGCTTTGACCGTTTACTATTACCAGATAAGTTATTTTGGTTGTTTCTCTATTGTGTTGTAGAAATGTGCCCTTTGTGGTTCCTATGCTCAGTGGTAGTTGCAACAGGTGTGCACCAAGGGACCTCTCCAGTTTATCCAGGGATCACAGATCAGAGCACACTCTGAATTCCTGCGTGTTAGATTTTTGAATACACAATTTGCTTTATAACCGTCAGGATGGGTCCAGCGTCCAAACTTAATTGAGGCGAGCCATGTTCAGAGCTCTAGCTTGAGTGCTGTAATTGCCTGCGATGGTACCTCTTGCTTCCCACACTGAAAATAGCCGGAGGGGTGCAGTGTGATGCACCTAGATAGAATCTAAAAACCTACCTAGTTTCTTGGGTTTCGGAAACACGTTGTACATCACACAGTCTTCGTTTTCCCTTCAATTTCCCACACCATTTGCTTATTGTGGAATTTGAAACAAAGGTCTCTTTGGCAGTAGCAGCACCTTCTTAGAGCAGTTTTAATTTCATCATGCATCCACAACAGTTCTCATTCAACTTCTTCTGTTCTTAATTCTTTGAGATATCTTCTGTACCTTTACAATGGGAAACCAGTTTGGAATATAAGTTTTTTTTTAAACCTTGTTAGTAGGAATTCTGTTCAAGGGGTCTGTTAGAACTGAAGTAGACGGTATGCAGATGATCATCCTGTGCTTGTTTTCCACCAGGATGCAATTAAAAAAAAATCTTTTGCATCATCGTAGATGCAAAACATTGATGCAATGCATCTCCAGAGAGCTAGTTTGTATGTAAGGAGAATATGCTTTAAACTGTACCTTTTGGTATTTTTTTTGAGAAGTTAATACATTTGGATCTATTCTAAAGCTGTTGGACTTTTTAAAAATAAAAATGTTACAAGTTTGTGGTTCTGGTACTTTGAATTGAATTTTGCAATGCAATTTTGTACAAATTTTTGTATTTGGACAGTTTAGTAGCTATGAATTTAGATATTTGATATGCTGTTTAACACTCTGCGTGACACAACAGTCTTAAGTGGCATGGTGTGTTGTGTTTATGCCAAAGGCTTGTAAATTATGCTGTGGAACGACTGATGCCATTGACTTTTGTACATCCGTTATATTTTGGCACAGAGCCGGTGTTACAGAAGGAAACGGAAATGTAATTCACAGTAGGAAGAGTGCAGGGTTGGGAAGAGCTGTACAGAGTGATTATTTATTCTGTTAAACTATTCCAGAACCTGAGTTCTCAGGGCAGTGTACAGTACATTAAAAACATAAAATGCAGACTGAATCAGTAAAAACAGCAGATAATAAAACCAAGACAAAATCAACAGAAAAGAGTAAAAATACAATGACTCATAAAACCAATGCAAGGCAAGCCTTAAAATAAGAAAGTACTAAGTAAAAGTACTAAAATGGCTAAGATAATAAAGGGGGTTACCTGGCATCCTATTACTCTCTAGGGAGGGTCTTTACAAATGGGGAGCCACCACTGCTCTGGCCCTCTTGATATCCTAACATGCCCGTTTGTGAGGGCAATCCATCTATAAACCTTCACCTATTTATTATTTTATTTATTTAGGATGGTTATAGGCCATCCATCACTTCCATCTCTGGACGGCTTACAATAAAATTATACATATAATAAGCATATACCAAACAAAATAAATTAGCTATACCACGACTAAAATAAAATTGAATTATTAAAATAAGTTTAAATGATTGTACTAATTAATATTAAAATATTGGTTGAATAAAAAGGTCTTAACCTGGCGCCGAAAAGCATTTAAGACGGTGCTGTTAGGGAGGGAGTGCATTCCATAGCCAGGGCGCCACCGCAGAGAAAGCCTTCCTCCGAGTATTCTGTTTCCTAATCTTCAAAGAGGGTTCCCCGGGGAGGGCCTCTGCTGCTGATCTGTACAGCACCCTCGAGGGCTAGATTTTTGTTCTTAAATATTAGAAGCTAGAAATGCAGAGTACTCCATCTGTCATTTATATTGCATGGTGAACCTCACCCCAGCCCTGAAAACATCCCACCTGGTCTTACATGGCAGTCCTGTTTTTTATTCCTTGTAATTCCTCAAACACAGATAAAACCTCATATTATGCAGTATTTGAAGTAGAATCATTCCTGATGTTAAACCAAGAGGCCGGGCAGTTAGAGCTCTTGGACTTTTCAAACAACCAGGCATGCATTTTGGATTCCTCGTATTGGAGGGCTCCAGTTGTCTTGCCTTGATTTTGTTGTTTGTCAGGTGCTAGCAAGCCATTTCTGCTTTATGGTGACCCCATGAATGGACACCCTCCAAAATGCCCTGCCCTTGACGGCGCAGCGCAGCTCCTGCAAACTTAAGGCTGTAGCTTGCTTGACGGAATCCATTTTGTATCTGGGCTTCTCCTCCTCCTCCTCACCTTTGACTTTCCTAGAATGACTGCCTTCTCCAGTGGTCCTTCCCTTCTCATGATGTACTCAAAGTACAACAACCTCAGATTCATCACATTTGCCTCTGGGAAAAGCTCTGGCTTGATTTGATCTAGGACACAATGGTTTCTCTTTGTCAGTCCGGAGCAGGGGTCCTCAAACTTTTTCAATGGGGGGCCAATTCACTGTCCCTCAGACTGCTGGGGAGCCAGACTATAGTTTGAAAAAAAATGAATGCATTCCTATGCACACTGCACAATAATAAATTTAAAAATTAAAAAATGTTTGCTCACTTGCTCGGAGAAGGCTGTGGCGGAGGCACGGGAGCCCCACGGCTTTCTCTGAGTAAGCCGCTCTGCCTCAACCTGTCCGCCCCGGGCTCAGCAAGGCCGCAGCAGCTTGCTTGTGCGGAGAAGGTCATGCGGCCTGGCTGCCCCTGGGCTTGCATAATTAATAGATTTTAAAAGTTATATTTTTGTTACCTTCACTCCTTTCTTCGTCTCTCTCTCTCTCTTCCACCCGCCTCTCTTCTGTTTCCCGCTCTGTATTCCTACTCTGTATATGCGTGCAATGTGTGTGTGTGTGTGGGGGGGGGGAAGCTGGCACACACACAGTTGAGCTGTTACAATTTGGCACATGTGCCAGCTCTCTCTCGCTGCTCAGTTGTAAAGACCGGCTGCGCCAACTCGGAGCTTTTGGACTCGCTCAAGATAGTTTTCTCCCAGCGAATCCAAAACCTCTGCGGCGGGCTGAGTCAATGGGCGTGGCAGGCCGGATCCGGCTCGTGGGCCATAGTTTGAGGACCCATGGTCCAGAGTATTCACAAAGCTCTGTTCAGCACTCTGGTTCGAACACATCCATATTCTTCCTGTCAGCTTTTTTTACTGGCCTGCTTCACACACATACGTAGTGTTTGATTTTTTCAAACACACCTGATGATTTTTTCTAGTTCCTTCATTGCTGCCCTTCTTCTAATTCCTTGCCTGCAGCCTCCCCTTGATGACTGAATCAAAATATGTAAAACCTTTCACAATTTGAATTTCTTTTTTGATAGTAAGTTCTATTGAAATTATTGATAGGTAATTAGAATAATTAGATAATTATAGATAATAGATAATTCTAATTATTTTGTAGTCATAATTTTGGTTCTTTTAATGGTCACATATGGGCGTGAAAGCTGGGCAGTGATGAATGCTGGCAAGAAAATTGATGCATTTGAAACCTGGTGCTGGAGGAGAGCTTTGCAAATACTCTGGACCGACAGAAAGACAAAGCAAGTGCATCCTGGATCAAATCAGGCCAGAACTTTCCCTGGAACCAAAAATGGTGAAACTGAGGCTGTCCTACTTAGGGCTCATCATGAGAAGGCAAGCATGCTAGGGAACGTAGAAGGCAGACGACTAAAGGGAAGACCAGCATGAGCTGGATTGGATCTGTAAAGGAAGCCACAACCTCGAACTTGGAAAAGCTGAATGGAGCTTTCATTTTGGACGCTTTGGAGAGTTTTCATTCATGGGATCACTATGAGTTAGAGGTGTCGCGACAGCACATCGCAACAACTTAGTGTTGATTTTCACGGCGCTTCTTTTTTTAGCATTGAATTTGTAAGACTAAGTGAATTGTTTTGAAGCGTGGGCGGTTGGGGAACTTCCTTCCAGCATCGTCCTTTGTCGCGTTGCTGTAGAAAAGTAGCATATAAACACTTCGAAAACAATAAATAAATGAGGATGTCAGCCTTTCCTACCCAGCACCCTTGCGGATTGTGGGACTACAACCCCCAGAATGCTCAGCCAGAACACTTGAGGTAACCTCAGCTCGTTCCTGCGTCCGAGTCTTTCTGCACGCATGCGCCTTTTCTTTCTGACGCGCCTGCCCATCCAACTTCCGCCCGGCTGCTTCAACGCAGGCGCCTTCCCTCCCCGAGTCGCCATTAGATCAAAACTTCCGCCCTCCTCTAGGCCGGCGGCGGCTGCCCGGGGAGCATGCGCAGTGTGGCGGAGATACTGAGGGAGCAGAGGGGGGTGGGGAAATGGCGGCCGCGGTGCTGGCGGCGGCGGAGGGCGGCGGCGGCGGCTGCCCCGGCGCGGGCTCCGGGGCCCTCAT